AAAAAAAAAAAACTTAAAGATTTAGAGGTAAATGTAAAAATACTGAGCAGAAAAATAGATATAAGAAAAGAACAAATAAAGTTTTTGAGCTGAACAGTACCCGAATTGTTGCTTTTAATTCAGCATTTTCAGTTTTTAGTAGGCAGGGTATTTGAGTAATCTGCTATATTTCCAGAAATTGAAGCTTAGCTTTAATTTTTAACCCACAACCTTTTTTTTCCATTGGTAATTCCCAAATCTTGTTAACCAGTTTTTTCATTTTTCTTACTAACTTTACCAAATGTCATAAGTTTTAAAAACTGGAACAAAATTATATTTACTTTTAAGTAGGTGTTACTCTTTTTTTAGGGGGGAATGTAAAGTTCTTTTTAATTTGAGTTGACATACAATATTATTTTTCAGGTGTACAACATAGTGATTTGACATTTGTCTACCTTACAAAGTGATTACCATGAGAATTCTAGTAACCATCTGTCACTGTAGAAAGTTATTGCAATATAATTGACTGTATTCTCTATGCTGCACATTATATCCCTGTGATTTATTTGTTATAACTATAAGTTTGCAGCTCTTAATTTTCTCAAAAATATGGAATACTTTATGAATTTGCATGTTATCCTTATGCACAGGGCATGCTAATCTCTGTAGCATTCCAATTTTAGTATATGTGCTACTGATGTTTAGTATATGAGCACTAGATGTTAGTTTTAACATTTTAGTTTTAACTTATCAAATGAAGAATGTCAGTAATATTGCCTTTTCAGATAATAAAAGATAAAAATTCTAAAATCCAAAATGCAGTCATGTAACCAAGATGATAGTTGAGTGAAAGAAGTAGGAGCTAAGTATTTAATATAGATATATTTGACAATGATTAAATGCAAATTGTATTTTCATGAAGTATATTTACATTTTTACTGTGTATTTAATATGTTAAATATGTTTAATATATTTAATATACGATAATAAATAGTAAGTTAACATTTTATATTTTTATTATTTATACATAGTTAACCATTATCTTTTTTTTTTTGAACTGCACACTTTTAATCATTTTGTAGGCAAGCCTGTGCTGTATCCTTCTTGTTAGGAGACAGTACTGACAGCATAAACCTCTTTATGCACTCAGCTATGATTAAACTAAGGTTTACATCCTTGGTATTAAAATACCACCTCCCAGTTACTAAACATACTTTAAATCTTTCTAAGTTGCCACTCTTACCAGTGCTGATTTCAGGGCCATTGGGATTTGTCTTTATGTGGACCAGGTTAGGACAATGGATTCTTTTTCTTTGGTTAAAAAATTTATTTTAATTCTTTTTTAAAAACATTTATAATTTATTTTTTAATGTCTCAAATTATGGTTGAGAAAGTTGAGATAAGAAGTATTAACTTGGGCTACTGGCATATCTATGATTAGAATTCAGAATTTTTAGCCTGTGGTTCAATTCTTTCATTGTGTTCCTCTGTATAAGACATTCTTTCCTGTTCATAAGACTTGCATTGATTTTCTCTCAGTAGTACAATACGTTAAGGTGTTGAATTTGTTATTCAGAATCATCAAATTTTTTTTTACTTGGGGGAGCGAAACCTTAAGTTCACTTAATTTTTATGTTATATTGATTCTCTACATTGTTAGAAAATCCTATGTCCAGGTGTCCAGGATGACCAATTAGAAGGTTGAGAGAATTCATTTTGTCTTTGAGTAGAGTGAGCAGACAGTTCAGACCTCTCTTTGACTTGAGAATAGCCTCTGGTGTGCCCAATAAAAAGTAATGTAAGCAGCACACAAAAGTTTGGGATTTTTAATAATCAGAAACCTCTACTGGAAGTAGATCACTGTGGAACTTAATTTTTCAAGGATGACGGTATATATAACCTTAGCATCCATATGATTGCTAGTTTTACCATGTTCTGAATCCAGTATAATTTAATGCAATATTATAATGTGTAAAAAATAAAGTATTATTAACTTCAACATAATAGGTACTTCTAACCAGTACTTGTTTTTGTGGTGGCCAGTTTCATTAAACTCTATGCTTGTTTCCTTGTAAATGTCATTTTTAATTTAAACAGTATTAGACTTTCTATTATTGAAAGCTGTTTACAGAGGTAAAAGCCATTGTAAAAAGTTTCAACATTTTGCAGATTTTTAACAAAATGCAAGTGCTTGTAAATTTATCTCTATTTAGAAATTTGACAGTTTGGTGTGTTTTTATTTAAATTGTATTTCTTTGCAAATACTAACATATATTTTCAGTTTTCTTATTAGGTATAAAATATACTATGTACTATTATTTTCCTATTTAAAAACACTTTTTTTTTAAAACAATATCTCAGTATTTTGTCTCTGTTTTGAGGATATGGACAAAGTGTTTAGTTTAAGTTCTTTTTCAAATAATTTATGTGATTATTTCACATGTGAGCATTGTAGAAAAATTTGAGCGAAAAGGAAAGCTATAAAGAACAAAATAAAAGCACCTGTAATTCCAGAGTAATCATTAGCATATAAATTTTCTTTCCAGTTTCTATAATTGTGAGATATTTATTTTTAAAATAAATTTTGAATAAATAAATCTAAATTATACAGTTTAGTATCTGTTTTTCACTTAACACTGAAAAAAGATTCCATATCATCTGATAGTTACTTAATGGCTATATAACATTATTTAGCAACAACTGTATTGTTAGTTTTTAGGTTATTTCGGATATTTGTTGCTATAAATCCTGAAATAAATATTTTGACTATCTCCTTAGGAAATGTATTTCCTTAGGGTATAATAGATGAACATTACTGTTTATTCCTTAATGCTCAATAAATGAACATTTACCAGGAAGTCTTCCAGAAAGGTGGTACAGTCTCCTCAGCAAGGCATGAGAGCGCGTTTCCCAGGATTTGGCTAACATTGGGCATCATGTTTTTTTTTTTTATCTTTATCTATTTTATAAATGAAAACTATTATTTTTGTATAACATCTTTAATGTGTATTTTCTATGCATAATATAACACAGTGCTGCGTGGACTTTGGATATCACATACATTTGGTAACTAACTATAAAATTAAAATTTATGTAAAAATAAGTTATTACAGTTTGAGCCACATCCAGTTGTATTAATTTCTGAAATGTTAGATGGCAATGAAAATTGCAAAGGACCTGCTTTTTCTGGTTTGCATTGTAATGTGGATAAGACTTGGTAGAGTTTGCTGATGAGCTTACCTTGAGTTTTGATGTGATACAACAATTGTGGTTCCGAAGGTTGTTAGGTTATATGTAGCTACTAAGAATTATCTAGTCTTGGTTGAAAAACATCTAAGGAAAAGATGGTTTACTAAGAAGATTATTGGTGGGATCAGAATAATAGAGGCAATAGCTAACCTAACAGAGAGCAAATTAGTTTAGAGGCATTTATATTGGACATTTTAGTAATAGACTCTTCCTATTTATTTGTATTAGAGATGTACCCAATGGATTCCTAATTAGAAATTTTTTATTAACTGTATTTGAACACATAAAATAGCATGTCTTTTTTCTTTAATGTTTTTAAATTATTACAATTCATAAGTTAAGAAAGACGTTATTTGGGTTGATCTTGAAACTAGTCTTTCCTTTCTAAAATGTAAGGCAACCTCTTATAAATTAAAGATCAGTGATCATTTTCAGTACACAAATCACATGTCTTTACCCGCTGCTCCTAGATCTGCTCTGCTCTCTTTGATCTAATTACGAAATGAGCTGGCCTTTCTTTATCTGACCATAATTTTATACCCATAGGAACTCTTGTAGTTTTATATCCCTGGAAATTTCACATATACACAGCTGAGAACTTGAATGTAGACTAGGAGGTCTGTATTCTAAAAGTCTGAATTCTAAAACTCCTATACTTTTCTTAAGAATATACTTCTGCAACTTCTCGGAGCATAATCATCTGACTTTACTAAGTCACCTAACTTTGCTAACAGGTTTGGTTATAGCTCATAGCAAATTAAAGGAGACAGTTTACAAACAAGAGAAGGTGCTGCTAAAGGTGAACATACCAACAACTATAAGAAGTGACCTTTGATACAAAAGAAAGGAAAAAATATAATCTTAAAACTTAGTAGTTAGTATAGTAACATTTGGCATTACACACTTCATTAGAGCTAAATGACATAATTCTTCAGAGAAAAGTAACACTGGCTGTTCTCCATCATCAAAAAGGTTAAATTCACATAATGTTATGTGTTTGGCTGCCTAAGCATCCATGTGTGCAAATATGTTCTAAAATTATTATCTCTTCTTTTTTCTCTTTCCAGTGTTTATATCTCATTTCTTTTTCTTACTGAATTGGCTGTACCATTGGTTAAGTTATTTTTACAGTGGCTTCTATTTAAGTATAAAGTTATGTACATCTTAAGCTTAGTTTTAAAGTTTACAAGTTTAAACTTCAATTTAGCAAATTCATCTATGTAAGGTATAATATCCTAATGATTAGACTAGTAAGGGATTATTATACTTACAGGTACAGTTTGGCCTAATTATCCACATTTATATTTTTTAGAAGTATTTGGTTAGAATTGTGTTTGGTAGAGGCATGAATAGATTAAAAGATGAGACAAGGCAAAGGTTAATTATGGGGAAGAGTAGATGGTTAAGGAAGGTATGAGTGATAGTTGGGGAAGAGAAAATGATTGCTCTGAAGATTAATATGCTAATTTTGTTCTCGGATTAATTAGAAGGAAGTTTTTCATTTTCTATTTTAATGTCACATTTTCCTTAGGCATTTTGTAAATATCAGATATTGTCCTTTAGTCTTTAAGAGTGAAAATTTTATGTAACTGATTTAAATGCTTTATGATTATTAACAAGTGATATAAAAGGAAAAGGGGCAAGTGAGACCCAGTTATCTTTTGAGTAGCAGAATTTTCCTTTTCTAGAATTATAAAGCATTGCTTTAGACACGGACTTTTTTGCAGCCAAATGTACAAAATTATGTGTTTCACTACACTGTCTTGATAATTGAATTTGGCCTAGGCTCATGGGAATCCTGTGGGGTGTGTATGTTTGACTTCTGAGAAAGCTTCTAGAGGAGGGTTGGTTTTAATTAATGCTTCACAAAGTAATGATAAAATATGGATTTGGGAGTGTTTTTTGTTGTTTTTGTTTGCTTCTTTTAGTGGGTTTACCAGTTGTTTCTTTTCTCATTATGTATTTTTTGGCTTTAAAGAAGAAACACCCTTATTCATTGCTTTTAGTACTTCAAAATGAAACTGATACACATCTCTTATTTTAGTATAATGTTTTAAATACAGAATTAGCGTTACTTTTTCTCCTTTGAGCCTATTTCCTCCTCTGCTTCTCTCAAACATTACCTAATATTTTCACTGGGTTTTCAACTGAGAGACTGTTTCCCAGTCAGAGACTACTACTATGCAGATAGACCCAGAAGACTTAATAGATTCTTGTGAATTTAGTATGGAATCACAGGAAGGACAGAAGAAATTTCTGGGTCTATCTGCATAGTAATAATAGTATAAATATAAGCTGTCAAACAAGCCAGAACAAATTCAGGTTCTTTTCAGGATTGTTTGCTCTGGAAGTACAAGAAGAAGAGAAACTGCTTGGCCCTCTGTGTGGATATTAGGAAAGGACTCTCTACTGGTTATGGTTGTCTTTTGTCTATTCATTTTCCTTACCTACATACTTCC